CTTAGAGTTAGAGTAGTGACATAGAGCCGTAACTTATGTCGCACACGATTCTGTACTTTGATAATTGCAATACTCAGATTTCAATCAGCTCGAATAAATATTTTATACGGCTGTTGTATGTACGATTGAGGCTATCAAAGCTACGTACATGTGCCATTTCTTGAATTAATATCGCCGAACCGGTAATAATATTGTGACTTGTTTATATATATGTTTATGAAAGGTAGATTTGAATCAATTACGAGATTATAGAAGTAACGTGCTAATCAGTTATGAGAAACGGCGGCTCATTCACACGATATTTCGTAATTATATTTTTATGGTGTCTACGAGGAAATTTCTCTTCGGAAATGTTAATAATAATGATATTTAATAATTCAATAGATTTATGAAATTGCGTTGTAGTTAGTTACGGTAGATTTACCTTAATGAATATTAGTCAAATCAGGTAAATCTTTAAGCAAATAACGTGTTTAGTAAATTCTGATGATTATTATTAATATTATGTAATTAAAATTTATATATTAGTTATTTGTTTGGCAATATACATGCATTCACATAATATAAATACGCATATATATATATATATATATATATATATATATATATGCCAGACCTTGACGTCATGAAACAGTGTTTTTTAGGATTTCTAAACGGGTTTTTTTAGGGTTTCTAAAAACCAACAAAAATTTAAAATGCGTATAGTAAATTGTAAATTAACTCAGTTCGACGCAAAACTATGAATAAATTACAAAAGTGTCTAACTAAAATAAAGTTTATTTCTTAAAATAAGAGATATAAATAACTTTTTGATTAAATCACCTGTCCTTATTATACTTTTGTATTTTTATTAGCTTTCGCTTTACTTTATCATATACTCTATGTAAATGTAAAAAATATCATTTAAATTGTTGAGTATATTGATGAAAAACTTGAACGTTATTAAGTAGAGTTATATACTCTTAAATTATTTATTTTTTATGTGATTCAAATCTAACTTAACAAATTTAAAATGTAATAAAACCTGATCTTGGTTTCTTCTCTATTTAGTAATATTATTGACTTTAGCTTAAAGTTGGATATTATAACAAATTCATTTTAAGGTGTACGATCATAAACTGAAACATTGATTAATTATCCAATTTATTGCATTTCGTGGAAAATATAATTTGACTAAGTGAAGATATTTTATTTCATTTAATCAAATAATAATAATTAAATCTGAAGATTTTTATTTACAATAAAGTAATATAATTATTTCAAAATTATCTTATTGCATGAGTCAATCGACAATTACTGGCACAGAGAACGTTATTGGCACAACTAGGCAAAAACTCTCTATAGCGAATAAATCGAACACTCAACTTAAAACTGATAGAAAAATACCAAACAAATAATAAGTTTTGAAAGCGTGTTCTCGATCGGCAATCGCGATAAAATAATTTACAAACTGTCAATTCTCCTAGAAAAACAGGACGCGTTTCACACGAAACACTATTACTCACCTTAGAGAATATTACTGTACAATACGAAGAGAAGAGTCGAATTCATATATAATAATAATAAATAAGTGTACATCAGGTACAGGTGATGTATTATTGCCTGGATTTCTATATTACCAATCACGGCAGATGACAATCAATGCAATGTGAATGTGACATTTCGACGATTGCTTTGGCAATTTTCTAAAAGCTTGTATGGCCAAGGAGTTGGCTGTCGTGCATTCACAATGGAATGAAAAATAGTACCTACGTCATTTATTATCCATCGCTATTTTTAACGTTTAAATCTTTAAATGATGCTAATTGTGTGTGTCTGAAAATTTCCTTGAAACAAATAAAAATTTTAAATTTACCTGCATTATTTTATTTGTTCAAAAATATTTATATAAGAACATAATTTTAATGAAATTTATTAAATTAATCAGTGAATAAATATTTTTTCCCACAATTATATATGTTTACATATTTGTATAGGTTGTTAATAATTGGATATACTTCATTTTTATTTAAAATTATTTCATTGATTAAGATTATTGACTTCCAAATTAGATTTATGCGAACTTCTCATCCAAAAAGTTACTTGCTTACTCAAATATATTAGTTTAAATATAATATAGTAAAACTGGCAATTTGGCTGTCAATAATTGAGATTCATTTTAAGGTGCCTAGGACGAACAATTTTATTATATTTCATGATTATAACGGTTTTACCATATCAAAAATTACTCAAATATTTATATTAATAATATGTTCAATTAATTGTAGATTTAATTTATCAAATTCAATCATGATAACTAACTTTTTGGATGAGAAGTTTTTGTTTCAACAGAAAATCCGATTTTGCTGAATGATCGAATTTTATGTTTCTTCAATCGTTTGAGATCAAAATTAAGGGATGTATGCGTTTTTGCATGCGTTTGTTTATGTAAATAAATTTTTAACTTTTCGTCGACGTATTCTGAAACACAGCTGCACCGGTTTTAAAAGTTATTTGATTAGGAATTGCCTTGATTTATTAATCACGACGATCAGTAGTTTCTTCAAAATTAGCAGAAAACTGCAAATAATTGTCCACGATTTAGGCAAAGATTTTGAATTTCATTTAGGAAAATTCACAAACTGACCGAAAGATATCTATTTGCAATGGTTTTGAATAGTTTTTGTGAAGATTTTTGGGTAATTTTCTTGCAATTAATTGCTAAAAATATTTTTTGATGGTTTTGACGAATTTTTGTATGATGATAGAGGGCTTGGTCTTAATCAACATCCTTGAATATTGTGGGCGTATAAAAAGTGGTTTAATTTTTATAATTCATTAAAATTTGTATCGTCACAATTTAAAAAGTTGTTAAATCTGAATTCTTGATTAAGTCGTTTATTTACACATATTGGGAAGTTTATGCAACTTGTCTTAAGGTAAAATACCACTTAATAGTAATAATAAATAGTAGTCTGTTCGAAGGCAAGTCCACGATATGAGAGGAAATCAATGATTCTCCTTTCCTTCTTTGTTTATTATTCCCATTATCATTAAACACTTTTTCATAGACTTTTATTAATTTTCTTTTACGAACTTCTGCTTCCATGTTTCCTGATCTTGCGCTTCGGCTTTCAGTTTCCTGTATTTTATCTTCTGGCTTAAGTCACCAATCAACTGCATTCTTCTTCTTTCCTCTCCCTTTAGTCGACGACGTCGTGTAGAAGGCACATTTCGCAGAATGGGTCCGATCCAGATTCCTTTTCTTTTCAGATTCGTGCTCAGTAGAGTTTTTTATAAAAGATCTTGTCTGTCCACTTTATCTTATCTATCTGTCTCCAGCACCACATTTCAAAACTCTTCGGATAAGTTTTGTCGGCCTTTTTTAGAGTCCATGTCTCCGATCCGTACAGAGCTATGCTCCAGACATAACATTTTATTATAACTAGTTCTCAACTATTGCAATTATTTGAAATTCTACATTTCAAATCAAACATTATTAAATTAGCTTAGAATTCTTAAATTCTACGTTACTGATTAAAGTGTATCTTGGGATTTCGAATTACCTGCTTTCTACCTTCGACACCTGTGCTTTCCGTCGTGGCACACACGCCGGTTTATGCACTTGTTGAAATCAATAATGTGATTAACCCGACTGCTATGTGTTTCCCATATAGTCGCACATGTGCGCATGTAATTCACACATCAGAGCCGTGCGGCAATTGTTCGTTAATCGACATTTTGGACGCGCGAATGGAACTCACAATCAGCAATATTAGTAATCATATTATAATGATTTTCGTATGATGTTCTATCAAAGCGTTATGCTCATTCGATTTGATGACAGCTTTATATTGTACTGACTTCTATTTGAATGACATAAGACTAATGGTGATAGATTTAACAGTATATTTTTTATTCAATTACGTTTGATTTATTGTGGTTTTATGAGACAATCACATCGGAACAACCATATATAAGACATATATGGTTTTATAGTTATTTTCTGAATTGAACGGCGAATATAAGGAATTGTAGATGAGTTAGAATTTTTTGTGGTAATTTAGATTTTTTTAGAATATATTATTTGTTACACTATTAACGATTTCTATATAATATGTTTGTTCAACATATCACCTTTTGTGCTAATTTACTTAATCAATAAAATCAATATCAAATAGTTTTATATCTTTATGCATTTAATTTAAAGGTAGAATTATATATCATAACTTTTTCAGAATTACATTGAGTATACTTAATTTTCTTTGTTGTCAGAATTACATAGAATTGATTATTAACCAATAATCTCTTCAAAGTGAAAAATTATTCTTTATAAAGTACCTATATAAAAAAATGTGTTTCTGCATTTTTTTTATAAATGCGTACATGTTACTAATTTAAAATAAAGTTCAAATATCGAGTAGTATAAATCAAAATCCAGATCTTATAAATTATAGGGTTGCATTCGATATTGTTTTAGCCACCACCAGCCAGTAACAGCAAAGTTTTGTTTGGCTTTATAGTTTTCTATTTAATGTTGCTAAAAATTTTAATTTTTGTTTTATAATCATTTGCATTCACTTCGTGCCAGGATGTCCAGTCACTGGCTTTGCTCCATATCGGAATAGGTGCAAATATTTAAAAATACGTGCACACTATTTATTATACCATATGATGCATCAAATATAAAAATATCATTAATATACTTTCGTCACGTATTATAACGTTTAACTATTCTTTAGTATACCCATTTTTTTGTATATATCAAATTTTATCTAGATATAAAAGCTCACTTGATAAACCATCTCCGATATATTTACTTTGGCGAGTGTTAATGCAATAATCTAAAAGACTTATGATGGTTGTATATATATATATATATATATATATATATATATATATATGTCGGTTAAGCTAAAATTTTAAATATTTAAATTTTTCACATTTCCACTTTTTCACTATATTTTGTAAGTTGTAGCTTTTAATAATTTTTTTTCACATAAATGTTTCTAATGTTTCAGGTATGGTTTCAAAATCGAAGAGCAAAATGGAGGAAAAAGGAACACACAAAGAAAGGACCAGGTCGGCCTGCTCACAATGCGCATCCGCAATCCTGCTCTGGTGAACCGATACCTCCAGGAGAATTAAGAGCCAGAGAGAGGTTAGTATTTCATGTTGATTTGTTTCACCAATATGCATTATAAAAAATATTATATATAAGAATATGTAGGGTAGAGTGGGGCTTGAAGGACGGCGGGTAAAAAGGTCCAACACAATATATCTAAAAAACAAGTCAAGATAAGGTTTTTTAACAACAGTCTTTGAAAGTAGAGGGAAAAAGATGTATAACCACCGGCCACTACCTTGATTCTTACGATGTTACTATCGGGACATGAATGGCAATGTTTGAAATTCCATAACAAAAGTATTTTCTTTTGTTGTTAGTTTTTTTTATTGTGAGCACTCTTGTTTAGTTCACGAGGCATTAATATCATTTTTAACTATACGTTCTTTAATTGTTTTTCAATTTTATTGTTATTTATTCAGCAGTTTTTTATATAATCTCTACAAAAGTTTATACATGGGTGGGGTAAAAATGACCAGCTGAACCTTTACCCTGGAAAAAGTATCAACAATAAAAAATAATGAATAAAAATGTAAATTAAGTTAAGAAAAGCAATTTTGCAAGAGATAAGGTAAATAAATAGTTATTTCAACTCTGCTGATGAGATTTTTTGACGAAATACCAAATCAAGGTTATATAGTGCTATCAATATAGCTATATAGTGCAGTAAAAAATATACTCATGAAATTTATATTTTACATTGGTTGAATAATGTAGCTAATATTTCGTAAATTCCTTTTAAACTTAAAAATAGGATATTGGATCTGTTTTCCCTCTGGCTGTCCCGTTCAACACTGCCTATGGGGTAAAAAAGACCAGGTGACAAACTTTTGACAAATAGCAAATAAAACATATTTCTACAATTAGCTGGGAGTTTTTCTAAACATAGTCATACAGGGAGTTTTTCTAAACAAACTTAGTTGTTTGTTTGATATATGTTATTTGTTGTGATATAATAATGGGTTTGGTTTTCGCAATAAAATTGCTCAAAGTCAATTTGGACTTTTGTGCCCCCGACCTACCGTAGCCTAATAAGAATTGATAGATTGATCGAGAATTATAAAAATAGATTGATATATTAGGAGCTATTAAATTTGCGTGTACCCATATAATGAAAATGTGTCATATCATGAAAATGTGTCTTACAATGCATAATCATGCACGATTCCCTGGTTTGTAGAGCGCCAGTCGCCTACATTATCGGAATTATCAAGGATAACGAAGAATTAGTTGAAACATAGTCATCTAGTTGTTTCTTTGATATGTGTTATTTGTTATGATATAATTGGTTTGGTTTTCGCAATAAAATTGTTCAAAGTCAATTTGGGCTTTTGTGACCCTACCGACCCTAATAATAAGAATCGACAGATAGATAGATTGATATATTATGGTGTACTAAATTTCCGTGTAATCATATCATGAAAATGTGTCATATTACAAAAATGTGTCTTACAATGCATAATCCTACACGATTCCCTGGTTTACAGGGCGCGTCGCAGGAAGAAACTGGCGAAAGCTCTGGAACGTCAGGCTCGCAAGTTGCGTGCGAAAGGCATTACCGTCGACCTGGACGCGCTGCGAGCCGAGTACTTGGCACAGCACCGGGGCGCCGGCAACGCGAGCAGCGACGACGACGAAGAAGACCTTCCAATCGATGTCGTAGGCGGCGCCGATTCGGAGGACTCTGGTGGCGAGGAGTCAGGAAACGCGATGGCCAGTTTAGATCTCACTTCATCTCACCGGCATGCGTCGAATTCACCTCAGTCCCAGCAGTCTTCACCGCCAATGGTTCTCCATCATCACGAGAGCCAACAGTCGGAGAAGACGAAAAGACCCAATCCGTTCAGCATAGAGTCGCTGCTCAACACGTGAGAAACTGATCGGGCTGTGTGCGTGTATATGTGATTCTGTAAATATTATAAAGGTTAGTAACAATATGTTCTATATGAAAGATGGAGCAGAAAATGACCTTTTGATTGTTAGTAAAGTTTTAGTTGACTTTGATAGTATTTCATCATAGAATTAATACTTTTTACGAGTAGAATATGTAATTAGTAAAATTTTTGATAACGTATGACTCTTATTGTTTTAAAATAATTAAATGTGATAGATATGAAATATGTTTTTGTATTACAATAATCGGTAATAATGAAGTACATTGGTACCAAGTCTTACGAGCTTAATTCGTTTCGTAACCACGCTCGCATGTCGAATTACTCGTATCTCGAAGCATTTTTTTCCATATCAATACATTGAAATGCCATTAATTCGTTCGAGCACAGTATTTTTTTGATAATAAAAATTAATGAAACCGTTTTGCTAAGATCAAATACATATGCTACAAAACTATTACACATTACTAAATTTTCAATATACTAGTTTTTGATTTAAAAAAAAACTATTCAATGAACTTATTTTTTTTAACTTATTATGCCATTGTGAAAATGAAATGGGCATGTTTCGTCAAACAATTCTTATGCTCAATCAATTGCATCTTTTTCGGTGTGATTTTTATCAACAAACTTTACAACCTTGGTACTCCGTCTTAGGAGCTTAATTCGTTCCGTAATCCTGCTCGCATGTCAAATTGCTCGTATTTCGAAGCATTTTTTTTCCATATCAATACATTGAAATGCCATTAATTCGTTCGAGCACTGTGCTTTTTTGATAATAAAAATAAATGTAACCGTTTTGCTAAGATCAAATACATATGCTGCAAATATATAGCACATTACTAAATTTTCAATATACTAGTTTTGAGTTTAAAAAAACTATTCAATGTACCTTATTTTTTTTAACTTATTATAGTATTGCTTATAAAATGAGTTGGTCATGTTTTATCAAACAATTCTTATGCTCAAACAGTTGCATCTTTTTCGGAGTGATTTTTATCCACAAACTTTACAACTTTCAATTTTGTCCCATATTGCACGAACAAATGCACAACATTATTATTAATGAATTGAAATTTTTAACTTTAAAATAATTTGTATTAAATTTTTGTATGATAGTTAAATGCGACTTCACATACGAAAGTTCTTGTTACAATTTACATAAGTTTACGTTATGCTTCTTACTCGCACGTATCACGAATTTTGCTCGTAAGACGAAGCAAACGAGCCGCTTCTTTGGCGACTCGTATGACGAGACGCTCGTAAAGCAGAGCACCACTGTAATTGTTATGGTTAATGTATCATAGCAAATTAATATTACTTATTTATAACAACAAATTTTATTTAGCCGTGAGTTAAATCGCTAATACTTATAGTATACCTACTTGCACATTAATTAATGTTTAATGATATATTATCAATTAGGATTCGGTTTAAATTTATTTTAATTATTATCATATTTGAAGTCAAGAAACCGAAAAATATTTAAAAATTCCCACAAATTTCAGAAATTTAGATAACAGTTCATTCTGATAATTTTATGTGAAACACGAAAACAAACCAGTCCTAAAATCATAATTTCGATCTTCAATCGTTTATGCTGGTTTTAAATCTAATCTTTTTAATGACTTATCAAATTAAAATATCATTATCATAAATGAGTTTCGAGATGAACTTGTGAGTGGGTGATTTTAATATAATAGTCATTTCATTTCTTACAATGTAGACTTTATAATCGAAAGGTCAATTTCTAATCTCTGCGCTATTGTAAAAAATCCATCATATGTTATTGTTGTATGAGTTTTAATTTTTAACTGGGCCCGTACATATCAATAAGTTTTATAATAACGATCAATGTAAATAATAATAAATTTAATAATAAGACGGTGTACATTAAATAGTGTACATATATGTAAAGAAAAAGATTTATTAAGAAATCTCATTGTGACTGTGTATTTATATAGTGATAGATAAGACGAATTTCTGACTTTGTTATTTATAATTTTTTCTTATTTTTATTGATATCGTGAAAATAATGTTTATCAAATTTTCCCAAAGTGATATGCTTATATATACGTTATAAATTTGTTAATTTCATGACCTAATATGAAAATTTGCTTTGTACATAATAGTATTTGAGCAAGGGCTTGTTAACTTCCCGTAGGGTAAGTTATAGTAATCGCAAAAAAATCGAAAATGAAAATTTTTGCATTTCTCGACGTTTCAAAACCTTCTGAACATTTTGGCATACCTTAGAAAAAATGGATGTATGTGTGTGTGTGTGTGTGTGTGTGTGTGTGTATGTATGTATGTATGTATGTATGTGTGTGTATGTATGTGCGGATACAAATTTTCGTCGACGATTTCGGGAACACGGATCAACCGATTTGAATAATTCAAAAAACATTCGATTCGTATTGATAAGGAGACGTGCTGATTAGTTTTTGGCAAAGGCAGGTCTAGCTGTTCCGAAGATACGGGGCAAAAAGTGCCAAGAACGGTACCTCCGTTTTTAAGAGAACGGAGCGTCCGATTTGAATAATTCAAAAAACATTTTACTTGTATTGACAAGATGTAGAATTGATCAAATTTTCATGGAGGCAGGTCTAGCGGTTTCGGAGATCTAATGAAAAAAGTAAAAAAAAAATGCCATTCGGCGGTTAAAAATGATCATTAGACATATGCACATCAAATTATCAGATATTTTAGAGAGATTTTAACAATAAGTATTTTTTTTTTACATTTCTATGGGTTCCGTACCAATGCTTATGCGTTAGACGGCGGCGCGGCACATGCGCGCTTTGACATTTCGTCTCTATGCAGTTCAAGCAGTGCGATTGCTTTGAAAAAAAGTTCAGAATTTCCAAAATATGTCAAAATGAAGAAAACATTTTTTTCAAAAAAATTTTTCGTATTCAAAAAAAAATTTTTTTTTTCATATAATTTTTTTTTTCAAAAAAAAAGTAATTTTTTGTCAAATTTGTAGTTTCTCCAATCTATTTTTTTTTTAATTAAATTTTTTTCAAAAATGTTAATCGTTTTTAAAAAAATAATAATTTTTGGTACGGGAAGTTCCAGCAATTTGCCTTAAGGCACGATGCCCTAATTGCCTTAAGACAGAATTCCACTTACAGCTAGTTTAAAAAATTGGTAAGACCTATGTGTCGCGACATGACATCAAAATTTTCGACCAAATGTTGTACAACGGTTTTTATAGTTTTATATTATAATAACTATTGGTTTTTATGTAATCTTGCTTTAAAGATTAATAATACGAATATGGTACTCGATACTTTTCACATTGTTAGTATTTGCCTTCGACTGAATGCTATTTGAGTTATATCTAAAACTTTAAAATGAAGTTTGAAGTTTAGTCTTCTAAAATATAATTTGTTTCAACTAATTATCTAAAATTTATTTACTCGTATATATGCCTAATATACGCGATAATAAAGTTTTTTTCATAACGATTAGACAATATCATAGATTTTTGTCTTTAGTTCAAAATGAGTAGGGTAGATCCGGGCTTAAAGGTCCGCGGGTAAAAAGGTTCACCACCCAAATCAAAAACAAGTAAAGTTAGGAATTTCAACAACGATATTTGAAAGTTGAGGGAAAAGGATATATAATTTGCGATCGTCTCAAATCAAGCAACGTCGCTATCAGGAGATACTTGATCATGTTTGAAAATTTATAACAAAAGGATTCTCCTTCGTTGTTAGTTTTTTGGTTGTGAGCACTGTTGTTTAATTTACGAGACCTTGATTTAATTTTCAAGTATGCGTCATTTAATTATTTTATAAGATTGTTAATTTCAAGTTTGATCCAACAGATGTTTTTATATAATCTTTACAAGAGCTGACATGGTAAGAAGGACCAACTGAACCTTAACTATGGCAAAGGTTAATAATAAAAATAGAAAATTTTAATGTTCAGATCAAAAAGCAATTTACAAGAAATAAATTAAATTAATAGTTATTCCAAATCTGATAAATATTTTTGACGAAATGCCAGATCAAGGTTATATACATTGTTATCTTTGTAAAACATGTGTTCATGAAATCTATAGTTTGCATTGTTTGAATATTGTAGCTACTATTTCTTAAAATCCCTATACAATTAGAAATAAGACATTGGATCTGTTTGCCTCATGGCTATCCCATTTTAACCCGCCTATGGGGTAAAAAGAAACAGATGACAAATTTTAGGAAAATAGCAGAAAACACATTTCTAGAATTAGGAATTAATTGGCAATTTTACGGAACATAGTACGAATTTGCTTGTTTGATACGTGTTATGTGTTTATTACTTAAAGTGAAGTTGGACCTTTGTGCCCCGCTCTACCCTATTTATCAAAGAATTGCATTAGGTCTTGTATAGATATATTTATTTATCGCAAACTGACTAAAAATAGAACAGATTGTTAAAAATTATATAATATTCGGTTTATTTGTTATGTTGTTGAATATTTTTTATTAAGCATTATATTACCATTTTTTTATATATTGGCTAAATTTCCGTTAGGTCTAATACTAATCAAACAATGAGAAATATAAAAAACAAGTCTTTCGATCGAAATTTTACGTACTATCAATATTTTAAGTTTATTTGTGATCACTATATATTCATAACGAGAAAAGACATGAGCTGTAGCGTGTATATGATTATTTATATTTATGTAAATTACTGTAATATAAAATGTATTTATATGTATGTAGAATAAAAAAATATCATTTAGAGTATAAGTTAAAACTAATAATATATATAAATTAAAATACAATATCACCGCAATAAATTATTTAAAAAAATAAATCTATATATATATATATATATATTATACAAGAAATTGTGAATAGAACAAATTAGTTTAAGAACATGTAAACAAATAATAAATTATGATAAAAAGATTACTCTTGTGTTTGGAATTAACGTAAACTTTCTAATCACGTACTGTTTTATGTGGTGCTCATTATTGGTTTTTTACAGGCATGGAAAGTTTACATATGGGATGATAACAATTTTAT